AGTGACTTTTCAGGGCAGTGTCTTGGCACACATGAGCTTCTGTGCCCAGTCAAGGCACTTCTCTAGGACAGGAATGAGTCTAGTTTCTCTCTCTGTGCTCCTCTGTGCCAAGCACAGAGCAGATGTTGGCAAATTTTGTTAAAAGAATGGATGGGGGGCTTCCCTGGTGGCACAACGGGTTAAGATGCAACCTATGAGGCTATCCGCAGCCACTGCAGCATGAGTTAGATCCCCGGCCAGGGAGATACCCACATGGCACAGCAGACCTCTCCTGACTCGCCTGCTGGTCCCCTCAGCAGTGTATTTCGGTTGGTCTGCCTGTTCTGCTCCCCATTCTGTCTCTAGTGTAACCTCTCACCCACCCCCACACACACCTCTGGCCTGTACCCCAGATCTTGTATGCATAAATAAATAAATCTTTAAAAAAAAAAAAAGAATGGATGTGTCAGAAGTGAAAAATTGAAGCCAGGATCAGAGATTATTTCTTATTCCTCTCATGGTAGCAAAGCTTTAATTTGCACCGTGTTGGCCTGTGGGCAGCCAAGATAATGTGCTCATTTGCCCAGCATTTGGGGCATTGCAGGGAGTTTTCTGAGGACTTTACCACTGAGAACCACTTAACTGAAAACTGAGCAGAAGTCTCAAGACAGCCGGAGGAGAAGCAGATTTTTGCTATTGATCAGCAGGACCCTGGACTCTGCAAGATGCAGGCGCCCCGGCAGCCTTGGGTGGGGTCTACGTTGCTGTCTCCCTCCATTCCCCGCTTGATTATTCCCTTGTCTCCCCTGCATGGGGGGCAGCTCATTTATGGGCTCCCACACATGCTGGCCTGTCGTCAGGGGAGACGGGCTGAGATGAGGAAGCAAGCAGGTACTAGCACATTCACAGCAGCGTGGCCACTGCATCCTCTGGAGGCTGACTGGTCCAGCTACTGCCTTGAGGGAGTGTCTGTGCACTGGGAGTGCCCAGCAACCTGTGGGGATGAGTTTCTGGTTAGTGTGTGTGTGAGGGGGGATGTTGATGCCATCAGCTATCACATCCTTCACAGAGAAAGTTCTCACCAGAACTGGGTTTTGAGGCAGGGGCAGCTGTTTCCCAGTTGATGAGAAGTGGGGAGTGAGTGGAGGTGGGTGTCATTTGTAGAAATGGGAACAGCATATGCCAAGACACTGAGGCCTGAAATATCACAGGTTAACCATGGATTATGGCCAGTGGCTCTGCCAAGAAGTCCTTGGCAGAGGGAGGGGGGCAAAAATCAGGCTGAGGAGGGAGACAACTGAGGCTTCATTTTGTGGCGACAGGGACCTAAGGAAAGCTCATCAGCAGAAGAGAGGCAGATTAGATTTTCATTTTTGAAAGGTCATGCTGGCAGCCTATGTGGGACTTAGAAGGAAAGGGAGAGACGGTCTGGAGGTTGTTGCAACAGTCCCAGCGAAAGATGTTCTGGTCCTGCAGGACAGTCAACAGTTCTGAGGAACAGAGACAGACTCAAGCCACCTTTGCACCCTAGGACAGACAGGCCAGGAGAAGCATCTATTAAATATGTATTATGACAGGCCAGGAGAAGCATCTATTAAATATGTATTATGTCCCTGCTGGGTTCAAGAAAACATGTCCATGTGTGAGAGGAGAGGTACAGAAATGAAAGAGACATACCCTTACCTGAGGAGGCAATGCATGCTGTACATCATGTTGACCTAGTGCGCACTTGGGTCATGCTCAGATAAATGCAACACAGGGTCCACAATGGGCAGTGTGCCAGGAGCAGGACCGTGAAGTACTGTGGGAACTTAGATGCAGGAGGGACACTTCCAGCTTGTGAAATTGGATAAGGTCAGGGAGAAAGGTAGCATTTGAGTGGGACCCTGGGATCTGTGGTGCAAGGTGCTGTGGAAGGCCACTCCAGGCAGGGGAAACTGAGAGCACAGCGATGTCAAGGCCCGAAGAACTGTGGTTCATCTGCTACCAAATATTCTACTTAAGAGGTAAGGAAAAATTGTCCTTACATTTTCCGGTGGTCTGATTTTGGTAGCCAACATTGAATGGGGAATACAAACAAAAAAATCAGAAAGTTTTGCAACTCAACCTTGTAAAAAAATAAAGAAACTGTTTTGTTCCAAGGAACAAAACAGTGTGTCTAAATAGCCAGATGGACTCTTACACAGTCATCAATGACCTTGTCTGCTTAGTAATAGGATTTGTATTTACACATGTTTATTTATTCATCCAGAAGTTATTGAATAGTTTATGTGCCATAGCCTACATTTGGCGCACCAAGATTCCAAAGCTATCTAAGACAAGGACCTGCTTGTCTTACTCCAGCCACACTGACACCTTTCTGATTCTCTGATAGTCACACTTGTCCTTACCTCAGTGCCTTTTCACCCGATGCTTCCTCATTTTATGAAACACTTCCCCTAGATGATCCCATGGCTGTGTCCTCCTCAATCTTCTGATCTCATCTCAACTTTCATCTCTACAGATAAGCCATTTCTATGACCTTGACTTAGAAGGACCTTCAATCTGCCACATTAGTCTCTTAATTTATATTTCTCCTACAACTTACAATAAGTGTAAATCATCTCATTTAACTGTGGACATCTGTTTTGTCTGCACTTTTCAATACAATGTCATTTCCATGAGACCAGAAACCTCATCTGTCTTTGTTCATCATGATATAGCTCAGGCTTAGATCAGCGCATGCTTATTATATAGTAGACATTCGATAATGGCTTGTTGGGTTAATGAATGAACCAGACATCTTTCAGCTTTTAGTAACATATAATCTAGAACGTGAAGTTATCCATTTAAATAATTACAAAAGAAATGCCAGAAATAAGGAAGGAAATTAGTATCATCTATTATGTTGAATTACTTTTCATGGAGTCATAGTCAATCTAAGTTGGATGGGAACCATCTTAGTCTTTAGAGGCAGGCCGATCTGGGTTTAAATGCCAGCAATATTGGTTGCTAGCTCCACAAGGTCACTTAACTTCTTAAGTCTTAGTTTCCATAGCAATAGAATGGGGGTAAGAATATCTACTTTATGGGAAGGCAAACTGGTCCAACCACTAGTTTGGACATTTCCAACCATGGAAAGCTGTTTAGGGGACCTTCAAAATACTAAAAAATGGAGCTACCATATTACCCAGCAATTCCACTCCTAGGAATCTACCCACAGGACACAAAAACATTAATTCAAAAGGACACTGCAACCCTATGTTTATTGCAGCACTATTTACAATAGCTGAGATATGGAAACCACCTAAATTCCTCAAAACAGATGACTGGGTCAAGAAGACATGGTATATATACACAGTCAAGAAAGATAAACTCATGCCATTTGCAGCAACATGGATGGAGCTGGAAGGGATTATACTAGGAGAAATAAGTCAGAAGAAAAAAAGATAAATATCAGATGGGTTCACTTATAGGTGATATATAAAGAAATCAAACAAAGGATCAGGAAAAGGACAAAACTTGCAGGCAAACAATAAGATCTGAGACATATGCAGGGGTGGGGGAGGAAGGGGGCTCAAAACAGGGGCAGGAAGAGCACAAGGAACTATGATGACAGCTGCTTTGTTGGTGGGATAATTATAGGGGCTACACCTGAAGGGAGAAATCAAATATTGTACCAAAATGAACAGCAATGTGAGGAAATTAAAAAAAAAAAAGAATTCCTATCTTAGAGGAGGCATTAAATTAAATATTAGATATAAAATGCCTGGGACAGCATTGGTACTCAGTAAATGTTACCTGCTTCTCTCTCCAGTCTGTGGCCTGTGTGGGCACTAGCTGTTCACTCTCCAGGCAGTGATCTCCCAAGTACTGATCTTGCTCTCTAGAACAGGCCCTGAACACCAATACATGTGGAACAAATTGTGGAGCCCACTCTAAGGCCCTTATTCCGTAGATGAGGAAACTGGAGCCCAGAGAAACAGAGAGATTGTCCAGGTCACACAGATGTAAATGGCAGAGTGATGCTTACAGCCAGCTTGATTTAGAGCTCAGCACGTTTTTTACATCTCCAATACCCTGCTGCTCTGGTTTTATTCATTATTCACATATGAGCAGTCTGTACCCATTCTGGGTTTTGTATGCATCCACACAGCTCCTCAAGGCTCAGGGCAATTTTAGACTGTGAGAATGCCTGTGCCAGGGCTAGTAAACAAAGCTGGAATATTTCACAAACTTTATAGAAAGTGTTTACACCAGGCTGACCACTAACTTACAGTAGTAAACTGTCTGAAATCTCACTGGCTAGAAGTACAGGCAGAGAGTCCCACTAGCTATTCACCTGTTTCCAATTGTGCTGCTACATCATTCTGTTCAGTCCATAGTGATCCCTAATGCTAGCTCAGTGCTGAACCCCGCACTAAGGAAGAATAGTGAGGTCAGTGTGGTGGGGGAAGGTGGGGGCCCCTTAACCAAACTAGGTAGGAGGCTGCAGGATGGGCTTCCTGGAGGAGGTGACATCTGAGTTTCATGCTTTTTTTCTATGAGGAGTATTTTCTTGTCTTGGCAGCATAGCTTTCACCAATCCTGGAAAACAGGCAGTTGAGGGAGAGTAAACTGACCCCTAAAGCACTTTAGTTTTGTTCATTGGAGACTTGGGCAATTCAGATTTCCCTGTGGGAGTCTGATGTGGGTGATTTTGCCTGATGTCATATATATTACCCTGGAAAGACACATCACAAAGTAATACAAAATCCTTTGGTGTAAAAATTATAGGGTTTAACAAAAAAATGTTAGAGGCAGATCATTTCAATCCTACAGGTCTCTATAAGCAAAACACAGCACCAATTCTAGTAAAACAGCAGCAGGGCTAAGCCACTGCCAGCACCAGCAACATCAGTCACTTCATCCCCCAGCCTTAAGTCTGAGGTTTTGTAACTTCCTCCCACGTGTAGGACTTTTATGGGGTTTGCCTCTAACAGAGATTGGATTCATCAAGTGAAAAATCCGATCTAAGGTTTAGACTTCTTCAAAAACTAAACACGTGAAATGATGACAATCATCTTTTGGAACTGACCCAGAAGTGAAGAAAACACTCATTTTCTGGTCACTTGATTATTTGGACATCATTCATGTACCAAATGGAATACATGGTGTGAAGTAGAATTGATGGTTTGTGTGGGATCGGTAAATAAGTATCCTACTTTTCTTGGGGAAAAAAATAACTAAACACTTTTTTTTTTTAATAAAGAGGAAGTGTCTCCACAGCTTCTTCATCTGGATTCTGCTTCTGCAGAGAACCCAGCACAGTGGAAAGGATAGTGGTTCTTGAAGCCACTAAAATGGTGATGGCTTGCACCAGAGAAATGTGCTCCTGCAGGAGTCTCAGCATTTTTGTAAGGTCTTCACAAAATGCTACATCTTCCTCTTTCATTGTGAGAAAGTTGCTTCCAGTTACCTCAAAACATGAACTTGCCAGAAAAGATTGCATATGAGCCTATACGACCTTGCACAAGACGGCCACCGTGCCCCCATTTGTTTCATTCGGGTGCTGGCTATTGCTGTGAAAGCAACACATTTCAGCAGGACACACTGTTTGAGTCTTCATTGGGAGGGAAATGTAAACTTCTTCAACAAGTTTTCACAGAACCGCTGGCCTTGCCTTTCTTACAGGTGATGGTCAGAGCCCACCTTCCCTTTACAAACACCCTCCAGGGCACCTCTCTTCAACCAACATGGCAGTTTTGTGAATTAAGATGTGTGGGTGACAGAGAACATTCCACTGCTCCCTCTCAGCAGGGAGAGAGCAGATAAACAGAGGCAGGAAGGGTCTCAGGACAGGGACAGGACTCAAAGACAGATGCGTGCTGTTCCCACAGGCTGGTAAATGAGAGGCTAAACCAACTTGATAACTCTAGACCCAGACATCTGCTATCATAATTTCCTTGGCTCATTGTTTTTATTAGTAATTTCTCCCAGTCTGTGCAATCCTGAGTTAGCTCAGTTATCTGAGCTTGCACAACTTATTGAGTTGGCATTACAGAAAAAGGGAGTTACAGACCATGAGACTAGACCAGTCCAGACTGGGACATGTAACTCCTAGAAGATGTTCATCCATGAGATGTTCACGAGTCTTGCACAACCACCAAGCTGCAGCGGATTGGTGCTTACAATTAGAAACCCTAAATGGACCATATTCGGAAGGACAAATGAACTTTAGCCATGTCTACACTCTTTGCCTTCTCAATCAATAAAGATTAATTTCTTTGTTTTCAACCCCCAGATCTAAAATCTATATGGACCCCTAACCTTGCCAATGGGGTAGTCCCCATGCCCAGAGAGGTCTCCTCAGAGCTTTCTTTCCTTGCTCTTTCGCTAATCAAAGAATGCTGACTCCTTGCCAGCCTTCATCAGTGTCTGTCGAGTCCTCTTTTCAGTCTTGACCAGAGAATCTCCAGAGCCCTTTTCTGGGCTTGGGGGCAGGGCCCCTTGAGTCCTCCTGATTCCCAGCAGGTGCAGCAGTAGACAGTGACTGGAAGGGGGGTGAAATTGGACTGAGGGGCCCTGGGATCCTCTCCATTGTCTACTGATCTTTCCCCACCACCTTAGAGTGACAAACTGGCAGTGGCAGAAGAATAGACAAAGTCAGCCACCTGCAGAATGGCACTTGGAAGTGGGAACAGGAAGCCCACACTTAGGTTAAACCATGCAATTAATGATTCCCATTTAGTGAGCATTTATTATAAAACCAGCACTGTCCCAAATGCCTGCAATATTAGTTCTCCAAACTTCTCCCAAGTCCTGTGACATATTAGGACCACCAGCGTAAACCCAATTTGCAAGTGAGGTCCCTGAAGTCTAGAGAAATTCAGCAATTTTCCCAAGGGGATTGTTAAGCAGGGAGTGATGGGGACTGGGTAGGAGGTATCTGATTCTACATCCCACTGACTAAAAGATCTTGGGCTCAATGAGGCCTCAGAGGGCTGAGACTACTTCTTATTTGTCTTCAGGTGTCTACAGGGCCACTAACAGCAAGACAACCCACACAGGAACATGCTAAGAAACTAAAACCCCACCTTGAAGATACACAGAAGGTTGATACTGTCAGGAAAAGAAGAAATAGAGTGGACATTGGAGAGTGGACTGCACTGTCTATCTTTGTCCCTGCCTGTGAGCCATCCTGTTTCCCAATGAGAAGGGAAAAGGGGAATGTCTTCTTTACTTAAGCCAACAGAGGGGGTCTTCTAGGGAACCATCCAGAGAATGTGGCCTTTATGCAGTGCCATTTAATGGGCATAGAACACTTTTCTGACCCATAGTGAAAATGTTGCTTAGAGCGCCCACTGGTGGCTGGGTCTTGGGATTATGACTGTCAGATGCCTGGGGATTTCACTAGGGCTAGACGGTCACCAGGGAGAGGAGCTAAGTTAAGAGGACCTCCTGGAAGAGTGGGTGACCCTTTAGAGGAGACCAACAGGAGCTGAACTGAGGGAAAAGGCATAATTTCAGTCATGGAAAGCAAACAAGTCAAGAGACTTCCCCGGGGGGGCGGGATAGGGCTGTGAGGGACTGCCAATCCTCCATAAGACAAATGCCAGTGATTTTTCATGGATGTGCTGAAGATGACCCCAGTATCAAGTTACATCTGCACCAGTCAAGTTAGACCTTGGCTGCCCCTTGTCTCTCCTCCCGTGGGAGTTGGAGTATTTGTGCGTAAGGATGAACAACAGGTATTAGAGAATGGGGATGGAGGTGCCTCGTCCACCAACAGGACACCCTTAGACACCCCAAGCTAGAGGGCACAGACTCAGACGCCAGACTCAGTCACTCCCTTCTAAGGCCAAGGGAACAGTCATTCAAAAATAGATGACTTTTTTATACTGATGAAATACTCCACTTTTGGAACGAATGACTTTTTTTACATGAATAAATCTAATATCCCTTTAAATATTGACATTCCTTTACGCTCAAATAAGGAGTGGGAGATATATGTTGCTTTACATTAACATCTGGTTATATTGTGGCCACTCAGTTCCATCCTATTCCTTCTGTTCCTGAATGAAAAGCGCTGCTCTGGACCGGAACCCCTGGGACCATCCATTGCAAGAGGCCTGGGCATGATGGAACCCAGTCCTCAGCATCACATTTGTACTGGGAACTTTTCCACGCTCCTGGGAAAATGGGGGAGGAGCACAGTGTATATAAAGACACAAGAGAGGTGATGTCCCCTCAGAAGGACTCCCAGGTGAGTGTATCTCTATGAGGTCCCCAGGGGATACTGCCAGCTAATCAAGCCCATGCAAGACCCCAAAATGAGCATCACTCATACTTTGGGATGGGGGTGGGCGGCATATGACGCTTAAAAAAAGATAGATATTGTTTTTCCTTTTCCGTACATGTATTCATTTATAAGCTAACATTTCCTGGCATCCTACTGTGGCGCAGGTGCTGTGCTCCAGTCTGTGGGTAACCTGCAGGTTTAATAAGAGCCTTTCAGAAAACAAGAAATACCACTTCACTAAAGGTTCATGTCAGTTACCTGATTTCAAGAAGCAATAGAGGCATGTCTTAGAAGTGAACAGCCATGGCGGCTGTCTTGGATGGGCCTGCTCCGGTGCCATCCTGGTCTCGCTCCTGAGCTGGCACCTCCTCCTGGCTCCCACATCTTGGCCAGGATCCATCTCTGAATCTGCCTCGAACCCTAGGAGTTAAATGCTCAGGTTCCCACGAAGGCCCTGCCAGGCCATCTGGGCAAGCCTTGGATGACAACACAGGGCGGGCCCATGTCTCCAGATGGTCCCACAGAAAGCTCAGTTCTAAAAGCAGTTTGTGAGCTCCTATCGGTCGGGCAGAGAGAGCCGGTGCTCACAGGATTTGGTGGCACTAAGAGAAAGCGTAACATGATGAATTCTTTTTACATGTTTTCTTTTTATTACATAGGTCATGTATGGTTTTTTTTAAGATTTATTTTATTTATACAAGAGCTGGGGTACAGGCCAGAGGTGTGGGAGGGTGAGAGGATTCACCAGAGATAGAGCAGGGACCAGAGATAGAGCAGGGAACAGAACAGGCAGGACCAGAAACACTGCTGAGGGGAGCAGTGGGCAAGACAGGAGAGGTCTGCCGCGCCATGTGGGTAGCTCCCTGGCCAGCTGGGAATTGAACCCACGCTACAGAGGCTGCGGACAGCTTCACAGTGCTGCGCTCAACCCACTGAGCCAACAGAGAGGCCCTGATGTATGTTCTTGTTGAAATTTTGAAAAATGCAGATAAGGGAAAAGAAAAATGAGTACTAACCCCACTACCCAGAGATCAGCACATTTAGCATTGTGTGTAGTATGAGAAACTGCTCCCCTCTCCCACTGCCCACTTGCTGCCTGTCAACACATACACACACACCACACACCCTCTCTCACATAAACACTCCTCACACATATTGTATACACACACACACACACACACACACACACACACACACACCATGAGGAGAACTAAAGAATTTAATCAAATTCTTACTGGAATGTTCAATCTGAGTCTTTCCTTTTAAGACAGCACTTCCCAGAACTTAATGGGCCTAAAAACAAGGAGGATCCCTATAAAGAAATGCGACCCTATTAAAAGCATAGATTTCAGACCCTGATTCAGCAGGTCTGGGGTGAGGCTCTGGCATCTTAGCAAGCACCCAGTGGATGCTGACACAGGAGTAGGAGGACCTTCTCTAAGGAGACCATGAGTTAAAGGGTAACAGAACACCTTTAGGATCTTCTGGTGGACTCTCAGATAGAGGGGCGAATAAACCAACCCCTCTCAGCAGGACAGGGGTGAATGGGAGCTTACTGACTTCTGCCTTACTCCTTAAATAGAATTATTTTCTCTCACTAGGTGCTTAGACTGGGATGACAACTTCTCCTTTGGGGAGATATTGTGCTTTGTCTAGGTAGTTCTGTGGTGAAAGACAAATGACTATCAAAGAAGAAATCCACTTGGACTTAGGTTTTGGATTTCTGAGGCCCTTCACCCTGACTGTTCTCTAGGAAATGTGCACCCACAAGCCTCAGCTGAATCAGGGCCTCACATAGTTCCAGTGTGACCATTCCCCGCCTCCCCACAGCC